CAGTTATCAGCTGCCTTCAGAGTCAGACAGCAGTGAGGCACACGAACAGCTGGAGCCTGTTCTCAGTGTGTGCGTGCACAGAGTTGCCAGACAAAGGCAACAGCTAAAGAACAGGGGTCGACTTGGGAGTAAGGCCACAGGTGGATGATGAATGCCCCCCCCCGAGGAAATAAAAGAGGAGCGAAAGGGGAGTGGAGTTTGCAGGAGACCATGAGTTCGCTTAATTAGTTTGTGACTCTCCATGGCTCCTTGCCAAGTTTTGCAGATATCGGCCTGGCAGCTCTCCAAGCCAGATAAGGTCTGTGACCGTAAATCCTCCCTTGAAAGACTTTGTTGGATGTGAATGAGCAGAATTCACAGTCAATTAATAAAAGGGGTTTTTGTCAGGATAAGGAGTTTGCTTCATGCTCTTGGGAAGCCTCGGTCAAAACATTAACCTTTTTTCCCATCTTCTGCTCTTTTTTTTGCTAGCCTCCAGAAGAGGTCTACTCTGCGGGTGACTCTGTGATGGTAAGATTTCACTCAGATGACACCATCAACAAGAAGGGCTTCCATCTACGGTATACCAGCACCAAATTCCAGGACACGCTGCACACACGAAAGTAATCTCCCAGCTCCCCAAAACCCCTTCAAGTGAGAACGGTCTTCCCTTACTTGAGGGACAGGTTTCCACCATTTGCAAAAAAGAAAGAAAGAAAGAAAGAAAATGAAAAGAAAAGAAATATATCCATGGAGAAAATTCACATAAACTGGAAGGAGAAAATACACAGTACACCTCAGAGTGTGAATCACTCTCACAGAAATAAAGGTGCTGTCAGCTGCTCGGGGCCTATGTGGACTAGGCTCAGGGTTATTGGGGGAACACTTTGATTTTTTTTTAAAAAAAGGACGTCCATTCCTGTGTCTCTTTTCTTGTTTTGACCAGCGTATCTCCAGGACTAACCACTTTGCGGCTTCCCTCTGACTTTTGTCTCCCCCGATTCTGATGCTTTATGGCAGAGGTGTTCAAACATGGCCATTTTAAGACTTGTGGACTTCAACTCCCAGAATTCCCCAGCCAGCACGGCTTCATGGTTCACTGGGGAATTCTGGGAATTGAAGTCCACAAGTCTTCAAGTGGCTAAGGTTCGACACCCCTGGTGTATGGTTTAAAATAAAGCCATTGTTTTACAAATTCCACCAAGCAAGTTTTCCACCTTTACAAATTTCACCAAGCAAGTTTACCGGCAGAAATGTCGGTACATACAAATAGTGGAGAGGCTAGCAGGCTGGCAGAAGCTGTGTCTGTTGTAACGATGTAATAAATACACTTTCTTGTATTTCTAAGCAGATGCCCATCAGCCTCTTTCAATCTTTACCATTTGTGATTTCTTTAAAAATTCTTTCATCTCCAACAAAAAGAAAAAAAAATATGTAACTTGAAAAATGTCTTGCTCCTTCTTTCACTAACTTTTTTTAAATTAAAATTTGAATTGAAACAAAAGCAAAACGTGCATTTCCGCTTCTCCTATCTATAAAAAAGAATGAGGGCTGCAGGCAGAATGTGCAAATCTATTATTTCTGTAGACTGAATCTTTCTGTTCTTGGGTTTCTGCTTTCTGAGATGCTTTCACGTCCTTAGAACTATTGATAGATAGATTTTATCCTTAATAGATTTCGGGGAGAAGGAAGAGTGAGGAAATGATAGGGGGGAAAAAGCTTCCTTTGGCACATATAGCAATAGCACTTTCAAGTCCCTTGGACTGCAAGGCGATCCAACCGGTCAGTCCTAGAGGAGATCAACCCTGACTGCTCTTTAGAAGGCCAGATCCTGAAGATGAAACTTAAATACTTTGGCCACCTAAGGAGAAGGAAGGACTCCCTGAAGAAGAGCCTCATGCTGGGAATGACTGAGGGCAAAAGAAGAAGGGAAGAGAATGAGGTGGCTGGATGGAGTCACCGAAGCAATAGGTGTAAACCTAAATGGACTCCAGAAGATGATAGAGGACAGGAAGGCCTGGAGAAATGTTGCCAATGGGGTTGTGATGGGTCAGACATGACTTTGCAACTAACAACAACAACAAGCAATGGCAATTAGACTTATATATCACTTCGCAGTGCTTTACCGCTCTCTCTAAGCAGTTTACAGAGTCAGCACATTGCCCCCAACAATCAAGGCCCTCATTTTACCAACTTCGGAAGGATGAGTCAACCTTGAGCTGGTGAGAATCAAACTGCAGGGAGCTGGCAGGCGGCAGAATTAGCCTGCAGTACTGCATTCTAACCACTGCACCCCCAAAGCTCACTATATTCCTAGTATCATGATGACTTGGTCTCATTCAAATTAATTTCAGTCCTCACATGTCTGCCATAGTCATCAAACAATATCAATTTTGCTTGTAATTGTGGGTTCATATATAAAACAAGTCCCAATATTAGGGTGGTAACCAGTCACTTACATACTATTCAAAGTTATGATGGATCACCCAAAAGCTACCTTATTTTTTGGAGTATAAGACACACCTTTCCCATTTTTTCATCCTAAAAGAGGATGCAACTTTGGGTGCGTCTTATACACTGAATGTAGCCCCACCCACCGGCCCCCACCCTTTGGCCTCTGCCTCCCAGCAATTTACCTCCTTGCAGCAAACAGGGAAAATGAGGTTTGCGGTGGCTGCAATAGGCTATGTCAATCCTTGCAGCCTGAAACAGATGATGATCAGGAGACCCCTGCTGAAATTGAAAGTGAAACTTGCTATTTGCTGCACAGGCAAATTGCTGGGAGGCAGATTTTTTTTCCCCCTGCTAATCAGACTGTTTGCTGCAAGGAGGTAAGTCAATAACTATAAATGCCTATAGAATGTCCAAATTATTTTACTTATTTTTCTAAAAAAAAACCTGCTTTATTATTGTTCTAGACAACAAAATGAAGAAGCTTTTTAAAATAAATGCTTGATCTGAAGAGGCCCAGTGCTATTGTATCTTCTTTTAAATAGCAGAGAATAACTATACTTCCAGAAATCCACATCAATTTTATCTGCATCTGTACAAGAATAATTTGAAACATAACATCACAAACAGTGTATATGTTCTGTACTGTTTGCTGTTTGTTGAAAGGAGGCAAATTGCTCCGAGGCGGAAGCAGATTTTTCTCCCTTGTTTTCCTCCCCAAAAGCTAGGTGTGTCTTATACTTCAGAGCGTCTTATACTCTGAAAAATACGGTACTTACAATAGATTCTGAAGGTACAACATC